AAAAAAAAAATTAAGAGAGAATAGATCATATAAAAAAGCAAAAATTAAGAGTTTTTTTTTACTTTTTTTCTATTTTTGGGTTTAGTTAATTAGGACTTTCTTTTGAGAAATTTGGGTTGGGAAAAGAAGTTAAGAAGAAACACATGAAGAGGCTACAATGGCATTGCTGGTAAGAAAATAAAGCAGTCCAGGCTTGAACAAAGGCATTAATTAAAGTGGGCAAGTACCATTATATAGAACCACATCACAGATCCCACCATTTTTTAACGAAGTAATACCCACTCGTGATTTGGTTTCTTTGCTTTAGGTTTTTTTTTTTTGTCGTTTATTTAATTTCATTCATTTATTTTTTATAGTTTACTATTTCATATGTATGTAATTTTTGTATATGATTTTAATTATTTGAAGAAGATAAAGAAAGTTTAATTTGATAAGAAAAAATTAAATGTATTTTTTTGGAATAAATAAAAGTTCAACCAATGATGAAATTCTAAGAAAGTTATTGATGTGTAATTTTCTTAGGAATTTCTAAGTGAGAGAACTTTTCTAAATTCGATTAAAATGTTGGAGGATTTAGAAATTGATCTCAATATAAGAAATTTTATTTATTTCTAATTTGAAAATTTTAAATTGTAAACAAATTGTGATGATTTTATAATTGATTCAATTGTGATTATTTGATTATTGTATTTTATTAAATTTTGTATTTGATTATTGTATTTTATTGGATTATGTGTATTGAATTCCATAAAATATTGAATAAATTCGATGACAGAGCCTCTTCAAGTAAACAAGTGTGTTACTTGAATACTCTTAAGTTAAGAAAAATTTTTAGGGGGTCGACTAAAGTGTTGAAGAAAACCTAAACTATATCTAATATTTTAATATTAAAATTAATAAAATATTAAATAATTAGAAATAAAAGTTCATTTTAATAAAGGCTAAAAAAATAATTTGAGATTAATGGGCATCATTTTAAGATAGTTATTGTAGTGGTGCTATAACTTTCTTTATATGTAACTAAATTCTCGAACCTAGATTTATTTAGAAGACCAAAACCTATTCTTTTTAAGGATCTTTAGTCAAGCTTAAGATCTTCTTAAAAGGAATAGATTCACTTAGGTGGCCAATCATACTAAGTTAAAAAAATATTAGTGGTGACACCATGTTTTGCATTTAATGGGTGAGTTCTAAGACATACAAATTATGATAGTTGCAACTTACCGTTTAGTCTAGGTTAGTTGAGAATTTTTAGTTTTGCAATGTTATTTGTATCTTGCATTTTTATCACTTCAATTTTACTTCAAATTTGTTTTTTTCCTTGATTTAACTATTGTATTTTACATTTTATAGCATGCATTTTCTTTTTTCTCTTTTTCGTTTTCTCATTTACTTAGCTTTATATTTTTATACTTTATTCACTTTTATTTTCATAGTTAATTTTTATGCTTTTTTTTATTAAACCAATTTTAGAAGGATATGGGGATAAAAGGTACTTAGTCTAGGAACTTCTTTAGCTAATCCTCATGGAATCGACATCTTGGCCTTTTGGTCACTATTATTACTTGTACAGTCTATGCACTTGCAAAATTATCTGATCAATAAATCTAATGATGCAAATGCATGCACATATAGTAAAAGAAAAGGGTTAGTAAACATAATATATGCAAGGAACAAAATACAATTTAACAAGTGGAATAGTAATAAATGTTCCATCATGTGTTGTATTTAGGATTTTCTAACAAAAAAGGTGGGTAGGGCTTTAACTTAGGTTTGAATCCTTAAGGTTTATTTACATTGTGGGTTTAAAGGTTTGACAGTTTAAAAACTCCTAAATTATTCCTTACATCATCGTCCATTATAAACTAATAAAGCATCCAAATCCCTATTGACCATTATAAGCTCAAACAGAAAGAGTTCAATTTGTGTGAGAGTTTTCTCTAGCTTACTCAAAGTTTATTACCTCACGAGAATGTAGGTATTTGTTCCTTCCTAATAAAGGACAAAACTTGGCTTTAAAGCTTATGCATGAATGCATGTGTAGTGTGTGAAGGAACTTTCAAATTCAAATAATCAAATAAATTGTACACAAGAAAAATTAAAATTTACAAAATAAAACAAATTAGTACAAAAAATTATAAGCTACAAAATAAACAAATGGGTTAGTGTACATGAAAAATCATAAATAATCACAAAACAAAAACCATCAAAGCAAGGCTTAAAATAACACATAATTAACTAATGGCTTGATTCTCTAATGTCTCCAGTGGAGTCACAAAACTATCATAATGTTCAAGTACGAGAACCTGCTCATTAAACACAAAAAATATGGTCGTCATCAATCTTTTTTTGCCTAAGTGTGATTAGCCACAAATGTGAATTAATAGGCTCTGATCTATATTAACAAAACTAAGTTCGGGAGTTAGTTACGTGTAGTGAAGGTTTTATCACCCCCACTACGCCCAATATTGATACCAAATTAGTCTTATGTAATATTGTCTAAGCTTTAATTCAAATGGTTTTTTATTCCTTTTTATTTATTTACAAAATATTAATTACAAATAATGACACAATTATATTTACAACTTTCTAATTATAATACTAAAAATATAATTCAATTTTTATTTACATAAATTAAATCAATAAATCAATAGGAAAAAAATAAAAAATAAAAACTGAATAAATAAGTATATAAATGAGTAAAATAAACTAGCAATACAAAATAATTTCATAAAAGAATTACTATTACAAATATTATCCCAAACCACATTAAAAAAACAAAGAAATAAAAATAAAAGTATATCTAACTAATGCTTTTGGATCAACCTGAAATAAAGCCTACTGTCAAGAAAATTTTTGCTTGACTCTATTTGCTTTAATTTTATGTATATGATTTTTTTTTTTTTGGTGATTCTCCTTCTCTCTCTGACTGAGAACTTCTTTTTCAAAATTTAAAAATTTGTGTTGCTTCTTGATTCTTTGATTGTTGGTGATTTTTTAATTGAGAATTGGGCCTTTTATATAGGAATTGAATCCCTTTTCAATTTGAAAAATTTTAATATCAATTAAATCTATCAAGATTTTGTCAAAATTTCTTTTCTTTGTTGTAAAAACTTGATTTCCAAGAATTACCAAAATCAAACTCAATCTTTAAATTTCAAATCTAAATAAAATTACAATCTTAAAAAAATCAAGATTTAAATTATTATTTATTTGTCAAATAACAAGACATAAATAAAAATAAAAGTACTTTTAGGTCTTTTTATTTGGACTTAAAATTAATGGCATAATTAAAAGTCTGATATCAAATTAAAACTCAAGGTTAAATAATATTGAAAAGATTGCAGACAAAATTATGTATCTACAATGATCATTTTACAATATTAGACAGGTATAGCAATAGAATACCTTTGGAGATTCTAAAATTTGTAGATCTAACTTTTTGTTTTCATATTTTTAATTTTTATTATTTATATTTTAGGTTATTTTATTTTCATTGAAGGGTAAAATGATCATTTTATAATATTGCATAGGTGTCAAAATATAACCACTTTGGGAAGTTTTTAACATATATTTTTAAATTTTTTATCATTAGCATTTTAAGTTATTTTATTTTGATTAAATGATAAAATGGTTATTTTTATAATGTTAGACATGTGTCAAAGTATAATCTCTTTGGAAATTCTTTTAATATATTTTTTATTTTTTATTATTAATATTTTAATTTATTTTATTTAATTAAAAGATAAAATAGTTATTTTATAATATTGAAAAGGATAAAATAATTATTTTACAACGCTAGACAAGTGTGACACTCTAATTCTTTGGAGATTCTTTTAATAAAGGATATAGATAAACCATTAATGTAATTATTTAATAAATCAATTAATAGATAAATAACTAAAAACCATAAATAAATAATTTTTAATTGTAAAACATTATTATTAATTTTTAATAAATTTACTATTTGATAAAAAAAATTAACTCATAAATATAAAAAAATGGCAAAAAATTTATAATATACAAATTTTAATATAATATTTTTAATGATTATTTTATTTCTAACTATAATTTATTTTATCATTATCATTACATTTGCATCTAATTACATATCTCACTAATGATTTTAATCTCATCATTATAATAATTAATTTCACATCTACCGTTATTTTCAATTTGATTGGAGATAATTTCATATCCCATTTAAATAGAAAATTTTTTTTTTTTGCTATTAAAGCAACCAAGTTGGGGAATCATGAGGCCTTTCTATGCACTGGAATTGGATTATTCATATTTTAGTGAATCAAGGATTATAAGCTGTGTTCGGTTGGCATTCAAGTCAGTCATATTTTTGCTGCCTTTTATCTATACGAGTTATAGATATTAATCCAAATTTACATTAATCGGTAGTGAATAGTTGTTAAATAGTCGACAGAGAAGCTGAGACGCACTGACAAATGAAACAGTAAAGAAATTAATTTATGTTTGGAAAGTTGTATTTCCTCTGTAGCCTGAGCTTAATGGCTGATTGTGCAAGCAAAGCAAGCTCTACTCTTATTAAAACTATCCTCTCAGCATTAATTTTATAAGCTCCTGGTAGTTGCTCTACTCTACTAAATACACCTCTCTAACACCTTTAATTTCTTTATGTCTCCCCACCTTTGTCTGTCACTAATTTTATTATATATTTATTTTCTTCTCTTCTTTGCTTCACTTCGAAAATTCACCATTTCCTAAAGTACTAACTTTACTTGTAAAACTCTCACTAGAATTTCAAATGTATGTTCTCTTTCTCTCTTACTCTCCTTGTGAAGAAAGACTACCTCCATATTCTGCTTTTCTCATCAAGCTGGCTTCTATTTAAAGTCCATCATTTCAGAGCATCCGATGTCATAATCTATAATCCCTTTTCTAGTGTTGTTTTCTCTAGTTTCATTTCTCAAACCCATTCTATTCTCCTGTATTCCAAGAGAAATTGTCATTGATTTTGTCAGCAATCTCCACATATTTTTGGTTTCGGCTAGCAGCTTCCATCAATTTTCTTAAAAATAGAAACAAGTAAAAGCAGTCCCGCAGAAGCGGAGACTTAGTACTTGATTAAAGCAACAGCCTGGTGAATGTTGTCAGAGAGAGAGATGAATGAAACAAGCCCTAGAAACGATGGAGCAATTGCCCACATTATCCTTTCTTCAGGAGTCCAACTATCTCCCAGCGCCAGCGGACCGCCGTCCCCAAGCACGGAAGAGAACCAGGTTGGAGCTAATAATTACAAGAAAGTGGTGAGGTACAAGGAATGCCTCAAGAACCATGCAGCAGCCATTGGAGGAAACGCCACAGATGGGTGCGGAGAGTTCATGCCAGATGGCGAAGAAGGCTCCATTGAGGCGCTCAAGTGCTCAGCTTGCAACTGTCATCGGAACTTCCATCGAAAAGAGATAGAATGTGACTGCCCCTTCTATTCTTACCACTCCACGGTCCTCACCGACAGTAATCGAAAACTCATCTTGGGTCCTCACAATTATATTTTGGGATCACCACAAGGGTACCCTGCAACAGGTACCCTGATTTCCTCAAGGGTAGAACCGCCTCAGCCGATGATAATGTCGTACAAAGGAGGGCCAATCCCTTCAGAAACAGATGAGAAAGATAATGGAGGAGTTGCAGCAAGGTCAAGTGGAAAGGTGAGGAAAAGGTTTAGGACCAAGTTCAGCCAAGAGCAAAAAGAAAAGCTGTTCAACTTTGCAGAGAAGGCTGGATGGAGAATTCAAAAGCTGGATGAGTCTGTTGTGCAGCAATTTTGCCTAGAGATTGGAATCAAGAGGAGAGTCCTTAAGGTGTGGATGCACAATAATAAACAAAGCTTGGCTAAGAAAGACAATATCTCCTCGGGTTGAATTAATGTTTGAGTAACTGTACCACCTAGTATCATTCCACAGTTTCACAAGCTGCACTTCCCCCCCCCCCCCCCTCTTTTCACTTTTATTTTTATTTTTTTATCTTTTTGAAGTAATGGTTAAAAAAGCTTTTGATTAATAGGGCCAAACTTGCATACTTATAAGTTAGTTTATAATTAATACGAGTATGTGACCCTCTGCTCTACTTGTGAATTTATAAGACCTATACAAGTTTGATCCATAGCATTAATTAACAGCGCGAAACTTAGATAAGCTTCTTGGATCAAGCTTATAAGGTATTCCATAAAACAAATAAAAAATAACAACAAGCAAATTAAAATTAAATTTATAAATAAAAAAAACTAAAATAAGATTAAATTCAAATAATGAAAAAATCACGTAAATGCAAAATAAACAAAAAATAAAAAATAATATTTATACATAAAACTTTTCATCCATAATTAATATTAAATGGTAAATACTTTATCATAATTAATTTTCAATAAAAAATATCTATTCAACTAAAATGTCAAAATTTATTTATTTCAAATTTTGTGTACTTAAAACATTGCATAAAATGATAGATACGATAAGATAATTATTATCTTATATCATATTTGACATGCTTCAAAAAGGAGAGATTGAATTATAAAGAGGATTAATCATTCTCTTAGTATAAAATAATTAAATCTGATTCAATCCTTTCAAAATAAAAAGGACTATTTTTAATAAATGGTATTAAATTTAATTACCTATTATATTTTTAAAATTATAACAAAATAATCTAAATCATTAGTAAGATTTCAACTGTTATGCAATTGTTGGTTGTAGTTCAAAAATTTTCTTCTCATTTTTCATTTTTCATTTTTCAATTTTCAGTTTCATTTTTTTTTTTTTACTTTCCACCATTACTGTCGACCAGATTTCATGATGACATAGGGGATTAGGAAAGAAAAAAAAGAAAAATTAAGAAAATGTTTTTTTTTTATATTTAAGGAAAGTAACAATTCAATTTATTTTTTAAAAATATTTTTAAAAAAGCAATTTTTTTGAAAAAAATAAATTTAACTTTATATAATTATAAATTATATTTTTTAGTTTTAAAATTTGAATTACATTTATAACTAAAAATTCTAAATTTAAATTATATTAAAATTAAGGAAGAGTAATTTTGATTTTTGACCTATAAAAAAAAAGTCATCCTACTACTAACCTTACATATAAACATGTTAAATGAAAAAATATTGTTTTTTTTTTCTCTAATCCTTGCATAAATTAATACAAAATAAGATGATGTTATTCAATCCAATCTTAGTTATAATCTTATCTTATCCTATTTCATTTATAATCTTGTTTATCAAACATTCCCTTTATCTGTTTGTATTAAAATCTTTTACATATTGGTTTGAATTTTTTTTATATAAGAAACCACGCGCAACTTAAGTGTACTGGAAGTTGTTGTACTTACTGAAATTTGAACTTTAGATTTGTTAGATATCATCTTTTAAAAGTGATTTTATAAATCAATTAAGTGAAACTTCTTATTCATATTGGTTTTGAATTTTCAATTATAATACTTTTTCTGAAATCTCACAAACTTATCTAAACAACTTTACCTAAGTTTTACCTTTATTAACAAATTTTCTGTAGTCATGCAAACAAATATCTACATTTGAAAAGTAGTAAATGTGAATGTGGATCTCATATTTATAAGAGTTGCTTTATCAAGCGCTTGAAAGTACACATAATTTTCAACATAGTCGTCAATTAATTAATCCATGTAAATTAATGGGTAACCAAATTAACTTTATTTTTTAATGTAAAAAGTTGAATATATATAGAGATATATATATATATATTGAATATTTTTCAATAAAAAAAAACAATTAAAAATAACGGGGGAATATACATATATATATATATATAAAGTAGTATCATAAGCTATAAAAAAATAAGTGGATGTTTCTAATAGAACATTACAATGATTAGAGTTCTACTTAGAGACATTAGATCCGAATTTATGAGTTAAAAAAAATAACGTACGTAATACACATCTTTCTTATGTAACTTAAATTTAATAGAGTTATATGTATATTATAAAGGAAAAAAAAATAGATATATAAATATTTGGAATAAAAGGAGTCCTAGATTTTGTAGGATAGAATAAACAAAACCCACTATCGCTTGTTAATAATTAGAATATCAAACGGATGACACCTTTTGAGAGTGTAATATATAATTGCAAAACGCTCCCAACTTGACCACAAATATAAGATTCACAAATATAAGATTCAATGACACTAAAGAGTAAAAACTACTCAAGTATATAAATATATATATATAGAATTTTTTTTTGAAAGAATATATAGATAATAATTTAATCACGAAAGAAATATATAAAAAACAATTTGAAGGCGTATTATAGTGTTGGTTAGAGGATGTTAGTGGGTTAAGCCTCGGATACCTAATTTAAATATGAAGTTAAATGTAAATTAGAGGTTTAATTATGATAACCATGCATTGCCACTAATTAATGCTTTCACCATCCATTCTATTATTATATAATAATAAAGCTACTGCAAATGATGATTTCTATATATTATTTCTTTATTATAGACTGCTGGCTGTTGGGATTTGCTAGCCGCCCAATTAATCCTATGTTCTTTTATATTATAAATTTTTAATTGATTCTTCACCTTATATTGATGATTTTTATGTCAAGAGCATCCGAATTAAAGTACCCTTTGATTAAACATGAATTAGAGTTGGATTGATGGCCGTTAAGCAAATTTGTAATTATGAAAAAAAAAAAAAAAGTAAACTTGTGATGCTGGATGACTGCACTTCTCACTTGGCCATATCTTCTTAGGAAAGATGATGAAAGACCTTTTTCGTTTGTGATTCATTTAATTCTACAAATTAAGGTAAATTATTCACGGTCTAAGTAGGTATAAATGGAGCATAAGCGACCACTGCAAAGATTGATGCATGCATTATCTGTCAAAGATTGAATTACCGACCGCTGCATAAGCGACATCATCCGTGATCCTTCTACGACTAGTCAATATCTTCAAGAGAAAATGGGTTTTGAAATGGCATCAAAGGCGTTCTCTGTTTTCATTAACAATATCATCCCGAAAGTCCACCGAAGATGGCTTCAAAGGATCGTTGAAAATTAAGATTGGGAGGTGGATGTGTTCATCCCCCAGAAGAAGAGTGGGAGGGGGAAAAAATTCGGTTTTGTACGGTTTGTTAAATTTGGTGATGCAAAAAGGGCAGTAAGGAAGGAAGCATAAGAGGGAAAAATAACGAAAATCCATGGAGGAACGGAGAAGGAAGTGCTGCGAAGTTGGATAGTCAATAAGTCGGGAGACATGAAAGACAAGGTAGAACATACATGTAGGTGTTGATGGGTAAGGAGGAAATGGTGAATAGCGATAAGGCGGATCCGAGTTGGATGGAGGAAAACAGTGATAATCAAAGGAAGTCTTGTAAGGTATGTGTTTTTTATGAAGCATTACATAACTTGAAGAGCTATGTCATACGTATTGCTCGTGGTTACTATGAAGCAGAAACATTGCAAGAAGACTTTCGTATGCAAGGAGTCTTTGATATACATGTCAAGAAAATATTGGCAAATTGTTCTTAATCACATTTGATGAAATAGAAACAATGGCGGTGATGAAGGATACTAGATGGGCGTGGCTAAAGGAATGGTTTGTCGAAATAGAAATATGGTCGGAGAATATCGAGTTCAAGTATAGGACTATGTGGATTACGTGCTTTGGTGATCCATTATATGCACACAACTACAATACGTTTAAGAACGTTGCCAACATATGGGGGGAACTGGTTTTTATGGATGGGAAGACGTTAAAGTTTAATGATTTTAGTAGAGGTGCGGTGCTTATTATAACAAACCAGTTAGAGAGTATTGAATTAATCATTAGCCTAGAGTGTGATGATAGAAGTTATCCCATTAGAGTATTTGAAGTAGGTTCAGATGTGCTCTCATTATTCCATTGTTGCTGTTAGACGCGGTGATTCAAATAGCGGTGTTATAGCAGAATAGCAGCAACGAAATTGCGATAGTGCCACCACCCACCATCATTATCGAAGAAATTACTGTTGAGAAATTTAATCACACTCAAAACCGTGTGTAACAGTTGCTGAAAAATGATGTAACAAGAAATAGTGGCAATAACAGTCCATTATTGCCGTTATCTCATTTTTTCTTCATCAGTGTAAATTAAAAAGAAAAAACAAACAAACTTTCAACACAATCTACCAAGATGCTCAAAAATTAGAATAAAACAACCAAAACTACAAAAGCAAAAGTAAAAACAAAAGCCAAAAGAAAAGATAACTCAGTCTTGTATAGTCATATTCTCAATTTCAACTTTCAAAATTAGTCTAAAAAAACTTAAAAAACAGTATCAATCATTCAATCAGCAGCTATCCAAATTTAAATCAATCTCAAATCCTTAATCAACAATCAAAATAAAAGAAGGTAAGAAAATTTTAAATTACCTTTTTTTTGTAAAATTTTTCTAGAATGATGTTCATTTTTGTGTTTGTGAGAATTTGAATGAGAGATAAGGATATGCGAGAGAGAGAGAGAGAGAGATGCAAAAAAAAAATCGGAGAAGAAGAAAACTTGAATAAAGTTGGTTGAGTTGATTTGAGAAAAGGCTGAGGCACTGCCATGAAGAAGTTTGAAGAGGAACCTGGGGAAATTTGAGGGGTTGTTTGAGAGTGAATCGTGGAGTAGGTGAGGGGGAACTATTGAGTCTTGTCTCAGAATAGGGTGGGGTAGGGTGGGTGGGTAGGTAGTTTTTATTTAATTTTATAATTAATTTTATTAAAATATAATTTTAAAATTTTGTAATTTTAAAAAAATTTTTAGATAAAAAGCAATTAGAGGGATTAAGATTTTATAATTGAAAAAATTAAGAGATTAATAATTTAATATGATATATATAGGGATTTTAGATGAAAAATAATTAA